GTTTTACACTATTAATCAGTCGACCTCTTGTACAGCGGTAAACCAGACAACAGAATAACAAACAATTCACATGCAGCATAAAATTAAGAGCTAAAGAAAAAAAAAAGCCACAAAGTAATAATGTGTATGAAATGAAGCAGAAACCAATAATATTTAGCAGTAAATGTGAGGAATGGAATGTGAATGTGGTGAATGAGAGTCTTCAGTTCTAAAAGACCTCTAGTCTGACGGGGTCAGTCTTTTCGGGTTTCTCGGGCCGGGTTACACACAAACTTACTTGTTTCAGGGATGAGCGAGTCCAGGCCCTGTGGGTCCCGGAGCTCCTCACTCCTGCAGGGGCCGGCCTCCTTCAGCCCATTCTCCTGGGCAGCGCCGGCTGACGGCTGGGTGGCAGAGACACCACTAGAGGGAGCCGCGCTGCCCTCAGCAGTCTCCTGCGCCCCCTCAGCCTAGAAACACACAGCAGGCCGTCAACACCAGAGATGAGGGGGAGATGGAGGTGGACGCTTGAACACAATATAAATCAATCCTTGCATGGTGAAGGAATATGGCTGATACACAGAACCAGTTTAGACATATTGGACTCAATTCCTGTTTGATGAAGTTTTCGGTTTAAAACTAATTCATTTATTTAAAAAATATTTTAATATAATAATATAATTAATATTTAAATGTATAAATGTAATAATAATAAATATATATATATATTTTTTTTTGTCCAGATTTATTTATTTGTTTTATATTTTGATCACTACATTACTTTTTTTTTATTATAAAATGAAACTCTACACTGGTACGGTATATCTGTACAGTGAACAAAGCAAAACTTTACAATCAAAAATCATGACAAATTTAATGACTAAATTTCATACATATAGAAAATAATCAACTATCATGTGGAACGGAATTCACCTTCAATTTCAACTTTTCAACCTAAAATTACGAAGATGAATGGCAATGAATAGAAATCCTTGCAAACGGAGACGCATGCCAATCATATGCATATGCACTTATACTTAAATTATTACAATTTAATAAAACTTATTAAAACTTTTCAATAATTCTAAACTTATGTCAACAAAGACTTAAAACTATGATGAACAGATGCTCACATAAAACAGAAGTTTTCATCCAAAATAAAACCTGCAGTTCACACTGCAATGTAAACTGCAGCATTATTCTGTTAAACATGCTTAATTTAAACCCGTTTAATATTTATTACAGATGTAGCAAAAAGTCCAAAAATTCACGCTGTTTCCGAAAGTCTCAGTAAACGTATGTTAAAGTTTAAAAACAGTATCAGTGTGATCATAATCACAAATGTGTGTTCAGAGTGGATGGGTGCAAAATAATAATGGGCGGAGCAAGTGGTCATGTGACTGAGGTGGATGACCATAGGCTGAGGGGCAGGTGACATCACTACCACACATCGGCCTGAACCCAGCAGAGCAAGTCTTTTTTCCAATCAGACAAAAGTCCTTACTCTTGTCTTTAAAATACCAGAGAAATTAAATATAACTTTTTATTTTTTTTAACACATAGTAAGTGATTTTTTGGGGGGGATGGAATGAAAACTGTAAAAACACATGGACTTAAAACACAAAAGCATGAAAAATAACACAAAAAAAAAATAACATCAGCATGTTTTAAACTTTCCATGCAAGTGTAATATTACTCACCACTGATTTAAAATAAAACAGCTTTTAAAGGAACATTTCACCGAGAATAAACAACTTTGACTTCACAACGTGAGATATATTAAAGATAGCTAAGCCTCCTGAAAGTCCTCTTTTAAACATCCCCTTTTATGCTGTACAGAAATCAGGAGAGTTTTCACACAACGTGATTAATAACACAGCCCTGTATACTGCTGATTTGAAAAATAATAATAATAATAATATTCAAAAAATGCATAATTTAAATTAGAATCTGCAAAGGAGAGGAAAGTGTAAATTAGGATTACGCATAACAACACGTCTTGAGAATGATTCATACATGTGAAAATGTGCTGAGAAGAACTGAACGAATAGTTGTCATGTGGCTCAGATTCAGACAGGAATCATGTGTTTGTGCTGTTTTTCTGCTGATTAAGATGTAATTCAAGACTTCTTCACCGCACAGATGCTTGTCTAAAGCAAAAACGCTATGAAATGCATCGTATTTAGTGATAAAGTGTGATGTGCTCAAACAAAACAGACTTTTTTTTTCAGTAAGAAACAAATATTGGATTTCACTCAGCAGATATGATTGCAGGGCAGTGTTACAGATACTTGGGTGAATTATTCCTTTAAACACTAAACAACTTCAAATATTTAATTCAAATGTCTGAATTGTCTAAATGTAGAATAAAGTACGACTTGGCTTCTATAACATCTCAGAGGTTTGTGCAACTGATCTTCCTGCCAAACTCACCGTAACGTTCCCGCCTCCAGGTTCATGATTGACATTATCCATTGAGCCCACCTTGGGCTGAGCTTTATCCTTAAAGTTCACCTTACGGCTCTCGATCTTGACTTCGCCTCCACCTACAGAAAAACACACAAACCCACTGGTCTAAAAGCTGAGATGACAGCCACTGATACGGAACTGAAAGCTTTAAAGGGATAGTTCACCCAAAAATGAAAATGTGATGTTTA